CTACTACTACTACTACTACTACTACTACTACTACTACTACTACTACTTACTACTACTTACTACTACTTACTCCTACTCCTACTCCTACTACTACAACAACAACAACTACTACTACTACTACGACGACCAAGACTACGACTACTACTGGTGGAGGCCTGTGCCAACTACACTCGGAACATAATCTACAGTACTCGTGGGGCTGAGAAATTCCCACGCCGCTTCTTAAACCGTCGATCGGTGATCGATGGTTTACTCTGTGACGTTGGTGAACCTTTCTACCTGGGAGACCCACTTGGAGCACAGGAGCGGCAAAAACACTGCCAAATGGTGGGTTCATCAGGATTCCCAGTTCTCCGTCTTTTCTGAGTTCCACAGCTCCACGCGATGCAAACAGCAGGCACATCACGCATGCAGGCTCCAAACTTTGCCATCGAATTGCTCCTTGAAGACCTAGTTTCCTCCTCAGGCTGTTTCTAGGGTGCAACGTCTCATGTTTTCTTAGATCATCCCCACAACCGACCCCTGAATGCCGGCCCCACCTGCATGGCATAAAAGAGCCGTACACCGATCTCTCCCAGTGAACTGGCGACCACGGTGATATCTAGCAAGGTCCACCTCGGTGACGGAGGGTTCACCAACACTGACTGACTGTATCGGCGAATAAACAGACCATGACATCTTGAGGCGAATAGAATATGGACCATTTCGACAAATGCAAGCCATGCTCTTTTTTAGAGTCCTAAAATGGACATGTTGTTATTTGTTCCAAACAGCTATCTAAATAAATAGCTGTGTGGCAATGTAACATGGCTTAAGAAGTGAGTCAAACAGTCCAGGGAGATCCTGGTCCTTCTCAACATCAATCAAGTCCAAGCAGCATCCAGTCTTCCGAACACATCTGCTGATAGAAACCTTCCAAACGTCCCCAACAATGGCACAACCGATGAGTTCAGTCATTGACAATATGCAACATAGTGACACAACACACTAGAACCTTATGTAAGTGATGAATTTCTCAATTTGAATTTGGGTCCGCCTTTATGATTGCAGCTGAGTTGTTGGATCCTCAACTGCAGTGGTGGGGAGGTACTGAACCTAGTTATACAATGATAGCTTATTTCCGTTGTTGACCTACGTGTAAGATTAGGCTGAAAACCCTGTCTTGCTCTATGTAATCTAGTCCTTGCTGCTTAAACTCATCCTTTTTGCATGCATTGGCAACACATGGCAATAATACAAGCGGGTACTATCACTAGGCGCTTGCAGAACCAGCACACCAACAAATTCAATAATTGTGTCTTATGTTGGGCTTTGCGTACCCAAAGCCTTGTCCAAGTGTACCAGCAGAAGTTTCAATCTGTGGATTCAAAAACCTTCAGCAATGTCTTGACAACAGTTTCCATATGGAAATAGGGAACTGGGCTGGCTCCGACGGCACACCAATGCAACATCGCGTAATCAGTGCAGTTGTCACAATAGGATACACAGGTCTAATCAGGGGAACGGATAAGCCAGCCACTAGACATGTTCAACCAGGTGAGAGATGTTTTGCTTCTCACACACTTTGGGCCGGCAACTGTGGTGGAAGCCGCCACCAAGAAAGCATTGGGCGCAAATCCACAATGCTTGGCCCAAATGTGGGCATGCGCTACATTTTGCACATCTCAATCTTCAGCCACCAATGATTCCTTCGACAAAGGATGGGGGGCCAAGTGGGGTCCGAGTGGATCGCGTTCGTCGTTCGCACCTGCCGCGCAAAATCGAAAGATCAGCTCCATGGTGAACAAGGCGGCGAAGGTATACTGAGCATACTCCAGTGATGGAGGCCGAGCTGTCCTGAGGCAAACATCGACACCAAAAACAAACACCTCAAGTGCCACATCCTCACCATGTCGCGTTTTGGGTTGCCACGCTTTTGGGAGGTAAATCAATGAAGCCTTAAACTGCAAAATCCATTGAACAATGTTGTATATAACATGTATATATATATATATAATCACACATGTTTAAACTTACTTACGGGCTTAAACTAGGATAACTAGGGAGCTGGTTTTCCAAACACCCCGAAGTGTGCCGTTCTTTGCAGCCCAAAAGCCCCGAACTGATTTCATCTCAAAAGGTTCTGATTTGGGCTAAACCTGGCGAACTCCCAAGGATCCCCCGTGCCCCCCTGCATCGTTGTGAAAGCCGTGCCGGCAAACAAACGCTAGCTGCTAGCTTGAAACAGCTCTGATCCCGCTTGATTGGTATGTTAAACAAGCTCAGCCGTCGAAAAACCTAACATCTGCGTCTTTAAATCCCCAACATTGTGGCTTTCTCGCGGATTGTTGACTGTCATGACACAAACTCTGTCTCTGTCCTCCATCCGAGACTTTAGAACCCCAACGCATCCGCAGGCCTTTGAATTGTGAACCTGTTCACGGCGAGGCCGGACAAAAAACGGGCCATGAGTTTTCGTTATGAAGGGCTTGCGACCCAGGTGCGGATCGGGGATGCTGCTATCGACATCAATGCCCACGAACACGGCATTCACAATGACCACAATGGCCTTGGTTTCGGTTTTGATCTGGAAGATCCTGGAAGAATTTGATTCGGAAGGAATTCCCTCGGTGGACTCTTGGTGATTTGTGTATAACCACTTGGCACAGTATGTCACAGTTTGAGGATGCAACACTCGTAAAAGAAAAAAACAACACAAACAAACAATGAAGATAAACGCATAATATTTTTAATGCATCCACCTGTGTCGTCAATCAACTTCAAGAACCACTCCTCGCTGCCAAGTGTATAAACTCGCAGCTTCATGTGAGTGAGAAATCACTGAGCATTTGCATGAGATGCTCAGTTTATCCGTTCGGAACACACCAAGGTCCAAGACGACCCAATATTATCCCAGTAATTAAGTCCAAAGACATTGGTAACTCATGTCTCTGACGTCGTTGTCACATTCACGCTCAATCACGGTTGTGTGGTTTTTTAAGGCAGCGTAAGACCATGGCCTTTTCATTCTCAACAGCTAAAATATTTTAAACACGACACCAAACATAAATAGAGCACAAGTTTATCCCCTGATGAGGCCGCCATTTCACGATTCTGTCATGGGTAGGGACTGTGTTTCACGGGTAGGGACTGTCTTTCACGGTTATTTCACGCATAGGTGTTTCCGAGTTATATCAAATATGGAGGTCTCAGGAGACACTGCCTTGTGAAGATCAGTTGATCCAATTATATAAGAATTCCTAATTAAATGTACATTGAATCTTCTAGAGTTGCTTGGGTTGTCTCAAAAGACACTCAATCTCAAAGGCTGCAAGTAGGGACCGTCTTTGTGAAAGACAGTGGTAACTCATGTCGAAGACGCCTTGGGTTATACATCCATGGCAAATCTGGCGCGCATGACCATGAACACATCATTGCACAGGCTTTCTTCGGCCAGTGCACTAACTCTCCAAACGCCTCTCACAAAACTGTTTGCAACCTTTATATAGGCCTATACTGGACTTTTAGTAGGGTACCCAGTGGTAGCTGGATCAGACAGTGTAAAGAGAAAACAAATTCGTCTCAGATCTTGAAAAGGTTTCGTCGAAACCATGGGGTGGTTTTCTCGCCAATTCGTCTTGTGGCCAATCGCAGGCCTTGCAGCTCATTATGCTCATTGGGTGTGCCAATGAAACAGCTTGGGATAACCACGTCAGCTGAGTCATGAAAGTCCAGGTCCGAGCCCGGTGTAATAAAGCAAGAAATCAAGCAGCGAATGAAGAACTTCCAACATAACCACTATCAATAGTCCAACACTTTGGCAAAGCTCCAACATCTTCCCGAGAGATCGCTTCCTCGTCTGGCACTCGACCCTCGAACAGCAGCCAACCCGTGTTGCCGAACCATCTTGGCATCAACATATGATAAACCCAAGCCTGATGCAAGCTTTTTGACGGGAGAGGAGTGGAATGATGGGGCAGGAGTGGAAGCCCAAAAACTGATGTTTTGCTCTTTGAGATCGTTTTTCGTGCCCAAAAACGGCCTCCGTATCGGACCCGTTCCGCTCCAAGCCGCGAAAAAGACATCGAACAGGGGATGCTCCACCATGCGTCGAAAACGCTGGCGCCAGGGAACCCTCCCCAACATCTCCACGTTCACCGCGTCCTCTGGAGATGTGTCACAAGAATGTCTTCAGGTGACTCAAGGTGACGAGTCCGGACCACTCCTCCAATGAACCAACATGGAAGTGGACACAAGGTGATAGAAGGTGAGATTGTGTCACAGGCGCCCCGTGAAAAGAACCAAGGCGTCCCGAAACCTGATGCAGCATGATGCAGCAACTAATGCCGGTGGATAGGTTCCAAATCCTGCAGGCAACACTCAAATTAAGATGGATCCCCATTGGCCTGCTTCCCGGACCGGTCCTTCTTGTGAAACATGTTCCGCACATGCGTCGCATGTGCCGACAGCGCTTCGTTCTTCATCTGCTGGTCTTCATTGGAATGACCTGGGGGGTGTTTTGCCATTATGTCTGTACGCCATTATGTTGATGCCTGTAGTCACTCCATGTCAGCGTTTGATGTGAACACCCCACACACGGACCAGCAATCAGCAAGGGAAAAAGAATCAAAACACCTTCAGTCAGGAAAGGATTTGCTATCTTCCGAACTCAAACCATCTGCAGACTCGTGCTACTGACATCTACTGACTATGGGCTGCACGTTTCTTTTTGTATCACAAAACGACTTGAAACATGAAATCATAAACCCTCCCAGCAGTTCAGGATACCAAAACTAGGCCCAAAGCACGTTCATCCATCCTCCCTACCAGTAGGGAATGGGGAATGCGGGCCAACAACATGCGGGAACATAATAATAAGGATAAACAAGGTGCCTCCTTGCTAGATGTGGTTTAGGGACTGAACTCCACCAATAATCAATGAACTACTACTCAAACTTGAATCCCATCTGAACTGCCCACCCAGGGTCCCACTCAAATGCACCCTCTCCAGAGTTGAACTAACATCTGGAGCCTTGATCCACCCACTGCAATCTGGGCATGATTGGAGGGAATCTCTACAAGGATGCGCAAACAACCAACTCTGTGCGGGCTTCCCTTGGTAAGGTATCATAAGTTCATACACCTTTGTACCGTGGTGGGTGCCATCTCCCTGCAACTACTGGCATCTACTGCCTACATCTGACTACCGGTCGCCATGCATCATCCAGTCTGAATCTGAAAATAAACAAGAGGCTTTTGAAGAGCTGTGGTCTTTTGTTCATTTTCGGCAGCTGTCCTCGCAGAACAGTGCTGAGAGTCCACGAGCCGCCTCAACAGGATGTGCAAGTCGGCTCGGTGATTCCCGAGCGAAGATCTGTGAGTGGGAAGGAAGGTTTCAGGACCGAAACCCGGAAGCAATGGTCATTCAGTTCTACTTAGTGTCCATGGTCATGTTACGTAGCCAATTCTCCCGCTGCCCACAGTGCATGCGGGCGACCAGGGGTCTCGTGGGGGTGCGCAACCAGGACCGGACATGGGGACGATCCACCATTTTTTGATTCTCAGCAGGTCTGCCATCAGTAGATCCTCATAGTGAAAACCTGGCGGCTCCAAGCAGCACACAGCAAGTCACCAGCCCAGTCTGGGACATGAGGCTGGAACTTTGAACGGTCCAAGCCCTAGTGTTTTGGGCTGGTGGCTTCTGCGGTGGTGGACCCACCGAACACGGATCGTCGAGCTGCCCCGACTCCGCTGCCCGGAAGACCTAATTAGACTGGGCTGCTCCAGACCATTCCAGAACGGAGGGTGTGGAGGGCCCCCAGTGAAACTGCCTTCCGGGGAAGGCTATCATGGGGCAGTGGGGTGCATCTTCTGACCAGCCAAAATCTGCCTTTACGGAACTCATACAACGGTACTAGATTCTGGGTGTGTCAAGCGATCATGGGTCTGTCAAGCGATCATCAGTTTTGGCCGTTCACTGGCTCACTCAAGTTTTGCCGGCACTCTCGCATTCGCGAGCAGCACACGTCTGGGGACTTTTGCCCTTGTTATGTTAGCATGGTGCGGCCAACGGGCACTTGATCGAGTCACGAGGAACAGTGAGGCACCACCACCTGTAGTTTGTCACCCTGGCTCTTTTTCTGACTGGGAGCTGAAATGAGCTCTTGGACTCTTGGACTTCTTTCCCTTGAAAAGACCTCTCTCTCAGCAAGGTTAGCGCAGTGTCATGACCCACCATAGGTGGCAAAGGCCAAACCAAACCCAGCCACAGGCAAATGGTGTGGTCACCCTGACCCGCCAGGAAACCTGGGCCCCCCTGAGACTTCAGAATCCTGCATCCAAAAGAAACAAAACAAAGAAGCGGTTCCACTGAAGTTCGTTTCAACGCTCCGAGTTACGTATTTTTTGCCCAATGACTCCCCAGCTAACAACGTCAAACGGGGAAAGCCAAGCTTTCCACTAGATTGGAATTAAAGATCCTACTAAACCAGAAACAGGGCCTTCAGGCGGATTCATTATCATGGAGATTTGCTGACCGAACGGACCCAAAATTAGTGGTCCTCCAATCCAGAGTTGAGAAGGCAAAAAAGGCTCGCCCACCAAATGGCTGCACATTGAGCAGGGTTCAACGGCATCAACTGACATGACTCACATTGCCGTGGGATCAAAACCCGGACCCCTATAATCCTTGGTGGTTGACCTCCCTGCGATCTATCCTTGGTGGTTGACCTCCCTGCGATCAACCTGGGTCCCCCTCTTTGGACCCACTGCCACATGGCGATGGGAGTGAATGTGCATGTGATGGGTCCCCACGTCACGTAGTCTACGCGTCCTGGCTGTGCCATTTCCTCTGTGACCTCAGGCCTTGGGCGGTGAGACCAACCTGACATATCTGGCACTCTCAGTGGATGGATTTGGAAACCTAACTTGAAACCATGTGGCGTTGCTAGCAAGGGGTTGGGGAGCTCCCTCTAGCTCCTTGGTTCCCTGTGAGGAATATGGATACCCCCGACTCCTTAGCCCCCTCCTGTCTAGGTTGACCTCTCACTTGTACAATGTGCATGTCCTCACTTGCTATTCCAGCCTAAGGCATTCTGGGGGATGTTTGCTATCGTGGGTGGTTTTCAAGTTGACATTCAGTATATATAGGCCAACTCTGTAACAATTGTTCATTGTGAAGGTTACCTCGGCACTTGTGCTCTTTGGTCCAAATCCATCCCATGAGGCTAATCCTCAGAGGTTCCACGACATCGGATTGTCCTAACGACCAGTTGGGGTAGTGCGCGCACCTTCGACCTTCCTAAAAGAAGGCCAGTTCGTTCAGCCGCTGCAGCTGGTTCGCCGAGTTCACCGATCCTGGCATTGGGGAAAATCCTTCACTTCTGGCAGAAGTAAGGATTCAAAGCAGTTTGCCATTTTTTAGAAACACATCAGGGACACGAGGCCGAATCCCCAGTGTGCACTGGTGGATGCATAGTTGGAGATGCACAAGCCCAAAAAAAAAAGAACTTGGCTGGTGGCTTGGCTGGTGGCGATCCAAGATGATCCAAGGCTTCAGTCATGTGCGGCTTAAACAAACACGGCTCTTGGCGATAGTTCTGCCAAAAAAAAAGCACCATCTGTCTGTTGGTCACTAGCTGATCTGATAGCAAATCCAAGACCTGTACTCAAAGAGCTTCTTGATTTCTGCTGCCTTTGGACATTTTAACGTCGACCCGCGCACCTCACCGGGCTGTCAAGGGAAGCTGCATGATCATGGCATGCCCGGGGTTAGGCACGAAGGTGGGATCCACCTGTGCCATGCCGTTCTGATTTGGTTGAGTTCGGCAACTGCCACGGTTCCCATTGCTCTTCCTGGGCATCTCACATTTTGTGCTCCAAAGGAAGCATGAAAACCCAAACCTGACCCTCAGCTGCTACGTCTTCCCCAAACCTGGAAGTGGTTTGCAAGGTTGGCTTGCGGTAGGATTACGCTAGCTGTGCAACGACCATATCAGTGCCGTTTCGTGATCGGGCCAGCGGTATGGCAAGTCAGCTGACTCACCTCGGAACAGTTTGTGAAATCCATGCATGCCAGAATATAAGAGCTATTAACTAATTGATATATGTGCACGTGCATGTATGCATGTATTTTCTTCAAAGCACTGTCGGGGAGAGGTGGCATGGCTGTATATTTTGGTCCTTGACCGCAAGCTTGTGAAGAAGAGACAAAAACACATTATTCATATATACATTATATACAGTAAATAGCATGTATATACATACTTATACATATTAGGTTCCAAATAGCCACATCAAGCGATGGCACAGGCCTTTCCACGTTGCCTTTTGCCAGACTTTTAAACAAAATCTACATACCCCAGCCCTGGCATTGTGATTGTATATTGGCATTGCACTTGCATGCACTTGCAGTTGCATCTGTTTTTTGTATTCGTTTGTCGTCTTCCGTGTCGTCTTCTCCTTCTCCCGTTGCCTCCCATCTTTCTCTCCCGCCCGAATGACCCACACATCCCATCTTACTCATCAAACTCCCTTTCGTGCTCTGCTCACACTCCATCCATGCTCCCTTTCGTGCGAGTGTGAGCAGAGCATGCACGGCCTTCATCGCCTTGGGCAATTGCTGCCGGCTGATGGCCGGGCTGGGCTTCCCGTTGAGGCACGTGGCCTCGTGGGTGAGGCAATTGAGATCCTCAGTCGGTGGAGCCCAGCTCCAGAGCAGCAGCCATGTCGTCTCGTACCAACAAATGACTTTTTGCGTGACTGGTGCGCTGGGAATGCTAAGGTTTTACATGATGAACTTGGACATGCTATTCTTTCTTGAGGTGCGACCTGAGGTGACAACTAAATACGAACCTTAATGAAAAAAGAAACCTTGCACGTCCTGGTCCCAGAGTCGATGTGCAACGCGCATGTCTTCTCTCGCAAGTCCTCCTTCAACTGCTCCTTCTTCTCCTGTGGCATGGCCGCGCCACGCAAACATCGCAGGTGGAGTCTCGAGGTTCTATGACAAAGCCATATATTACAAGTCTAAGTACATAGTGTGCAGTAGCATATATAATACTGTACATGTTCTTTGGGTAAAGTATGAGTTAACGTAATGATGTGTTAATTTATGTTAAGTTAAAATGACCATATATTAGTTACACTATGCCACTATGCTGTACCGGCGCAGTATTGTATATATAGTATTACAGTATATAGTTGCGGACAGGGTACGGCACAATGAACGTTCTCCATGCCAAATCCTAAATTTTAAATTGATGTAACCTCTCCGAAGTCCGGGTGCCTCTTTCAAGCAACATGTCATACAGTTTCCACACAGGGTCTTAGGCGGTGAAGTTTCAGGTTCTCAAGTCTTCCAATTCTATCCCTTCATCAGCTGTTCGAATGGTCTGGTAGTAACGACCAGTAACGGAGGCGCGTTACCGTAAGTCCTGGAGGTCTTGCAGGACGCTCTTCTCATTCTGATGATGCTGCCTCAAATCCTCGTGGCACCTCAACAAGGTCATCTGATGCTCCTGGCAGAACAAGGTCACCGGAAGGGCTGCAAACCCGGCCCCACTTTGAGGGATGTTCCTCTCTGCGATCTTGGGAGGTGTCGAGGATAAATCCTGAGGCTTACATATTTCATCTGAATCTTTTGAACCAAGCAGCTGATACTGAAAAACATGAGCGCAAGCATGCACAGCAGTAGGGGCAGCATGAATGACCAATACCCGCCATGGTGACTCCTGCCCCCCAAACAGTAGGCCCACCCAAAACATGAGAACTTCATGATTAACGCAACAAGCTTTCCGCCACACTGACCTGATAACCAGGCCCTATATTGAGGTGGAAACGTTCCACACGAAAATCTCCAGGTTCCCCAAGCGTTGGCGCGCCTGCAATGTTGTGGTCACTGGATCTTGAATGTGCTCCCGTGCTGCACGCTGCTTGCGCCAGGAGGCACAGGTGGAAGTCAACTCCATTGGCTCTTCCAATGATTTGATTTGTGTCTTGGTGTCATGGATCGTGCTCCTTAGCGGATGGCGGCCCGATCTATCTACTTATCTATCTATCTAACCTGCAAATAGCACAGTGCACCTCCAGAACATGGCATGATGAAAAATATTACAGTAGTGGGTTTCACCTTTCAAGTGTTGACAGTCCCTAGGTGCGAGGGTATGCTTGGTGGAACCAGGTCTAGCATGAAGCTGCAGCACGATGCTTCGCAGCGACTGCGAGTGAACCACAAGGTGAGGCTTGCCCGGGTTGGGTCGGGTCAAAGCGAGCAATTGCAGGTCCAAATCGCCCAAAAAAACAATCAGCTGGGACTTTAACTAGAGTTGTTATACAATGCAACCTTGATGACCACTTGGGGGGCTCATGACAGCATCACAAAATAACAAAAATAGTCTTGCTTGAAGGCAGCGCTCTTGGTCATGTTGATCTGGTTGCAAGTCTCTCGTAGTTCTTGTTCCAAGCGCCTCCTGACATGTTGGTTCTCGTTCACACGCTCCTTCCTGAGCCGCGAGCAGCAATCATTGGAGCAAAGCATCCAAGCCCAGTGGACATGTGCAGAATGCCAGTTCTCAAGATCATTATAGAATTATCCGATCCAGGTTCAAACCACACATGAATCCCAATGATATATTCAATCAAAATGCTGCTTCCTCTTCTCTTCCCACCTGGCCCCGCCCCCCCAAAAAAAACACGAGAAACACAAAGAACATCAAAGAACTCGTTTGTTCCAGGGACTTCGAGACATCCATCCATCCATCCATCCATCCATCCATTTGCCGAGGCTCATGGACTTCTGGGACTTCTGCATGGCCTCCTCAGCGCTGCGCTGCGTGCGCTGGATGAGCTTCACGGCCTCGTCCCGGAGCTCCTTGGCCTCGTTCCGATGGACGTGGTGGGAAAGGGGGGGGGTTTTGGATATTTACATTTGAGCTGGATGGATGGTGGATGAGCCTCACAGCCTCAGGTCATGGGTGCGATGTTGAACATTTATGGATGGTCGATTCGAATTTCTGGCGGGAGGACTCAGGAGTGTCTCAAAACGGGACTCGTGACTCATGTGGGCACAACCCTTGCGATGATTTTCCGAACCAAGCTGCGGCTTGCTCGCGATGTACGGCTGATTGATTCAGCCTCAACGCCTCCTGCAGTCGGGCTAAGGTACTTAATTACGAAGGGTCCTTCCTTCTATTTTCTACATACCTTATCTCTGAACGTCCTTGCAAGTGCATGTTTGCACTGATTGGCGATTGCTGTCACCTCTGACAGACTAGATTCTATAGATGAAGTTCCGCAATCCAAAGCCGCCCGATAGCTTTTTGGGCACAAACAACGGAGGCAGCATCTCTGATATCAAAGGGGTGCTGACCAACCGTGACAACAGCCCGATCCGTCAATCTGCAATCCATAGGACCCTTGGCAAGCGCATGCAAATGCGATACGGGACTCAAACGCACATGAAACTTCCGGTATGAGTCATGAGCAAGTTCGAACTCCCAAGGTTTGGACACCTTGAAGTCTGGAAAGCAAGTACTCACACAGGCTTCGATCAGGGAAGTGGCCCCGGTTTTTGTCCAGCAGACAACCCTCGTGTGATGCCCACCCCTTGATCCGAAACCCTTCTTGAACCCATCAGATGACGGCACCCCCAGAATCCCACCTCATCCTCGCACCTTCCTGGCCCACATCCGGTTTCACTCTCCTCACAGACCTCACAGACCTCCACCTCACCCCATCCCCGCCCATCCCCGCAATCCCCGCACTCGTTCCGTCCTGTTGTCGCAAGACCTCGTTCCTTGCGCTCTCGTGCACTGAGACCTCGTGCCGCGCCGCCTGGGCGCCCTGCGTCCGGCGTCGCGCCTGTGAGGCCGGGCGTGAGGCATAGGACGGGCTGCCCGAGGGCCTCCTCAAAGCGGTGCGCAGCGCACAGGTGGTTCGAAGTGGTGGTGGCTCAGGTGGAGGCTGAGCAACATGTGGTGAGGTTTAAGCATCCCAACACATCTTGAGGAACAACACCCTCTCAAAAAACCATGCCATCTTCTGATTCTCAGGCATGGCGCCATGATCTTCCCCAAATGAAATTCACCCGATGTTTACCGCTCCAAAACCCGAGTTTGCCAGGCGTCATGAACGTTGAACGATCCGAGACCGTCTCCAAACTCCGCGAGGTGGTTCGCAGGCAAAGCTCGTCCACCGAGAGGGCCTAGCTCCGTCGGCGTCCGGTCGGACGCACCGCGGGCCCCGAAGGTGGTTGGCACGAACTGCGACAGCTACCAGGACCCTCCAACAGGTGTCTGTTTGTACCCTCTTGGAGGTTAAGAGGTGTCCCAAAACCAATTGTTGGAAGGTCCTGGTAGTGTTTTTTGGATTGTGGCCCCTCCCCTTTCCACCTGGAAAGAATGACCGGTTGAACTTATCTTCATAGGGCGTCCCCCCAAAAAATACAGGAATCAAAACTAAAAAGACACCTATAGGACAATTTTGTACAGTATGGAATCCGAATTTAGATCGTTTTGGTAAATTTGCATAATGAACACTTGAACGAACCTTCAAAACGAACGGTCTTCCCTTTCCCCTTACAAAACCCAAACTGAGACCTAGCAGGTTGCAAAATTAGTTTTAGTTTGAGGGGTGGAATGAAGCTGGGAGCTAGGTGCTAGGAACCAGTTGCCAAGTTTGTTGCTCTTATGTCTGTTTGCTTCAATCCAGCCTGAGTCTTCACCTGGATATCATGGCGAAGTTCTTCCAGCCTCATCGGGCGTCAAAGAAACTACCAGTACCCCCTCATCCGACCCTGCGGATCGTGTGAATGCGTGTGAAGCTATGAAGCTTCTTGTTACGTACTAGTAAGGCACTTGTTACTAGAAGCGATGCACTTGTTCCTAGTAGCGAACATTGTTTTTTTAAAGCTTCGTGTGAAGCTATGAACTCTCCTTGTGAAACTCCAGACTTGTGCGACCGAGACAAACTCATCCCGCGGACGGAGGAGGGACTATATAGTCTTGCAGAGTCCAGCCAGAACCACAAGGGAAAAAAGGGGTCCTAGTTCCTATAGTTCATTGTTTCAAGTTTATCGAGTCAAAAATGCCCACCCGGCTCTGCACGTAAAGAAATCACACAAGGGATCCATATCCCATTCTGTTCAATCCCACACTACCTGAGAGGCAGCTCCTCGGCAGCTCCAAGAAGCAAGCTGTACTAAAGAAGCAAATGCACCAAACAATGCAAAACAGTCTCGGATGTCTCAAATGATGGAAGCTCCCAATGGACTCTCAAATGCTTCCAGCGATGCTTTGACCATTCCAATTCGCGCATGGTCAGAGTGCCGTTTGCCCAGTCTCCACCAAAATGGACTGAATCTCTCAAAGGCGCTTGGTCTCCAAAGCATGGATGGTTGCCTTGGTGGTCGACTCATTGCTTAGGGTATCCAAAAAAGAATTGGTGCACAAAACAGCCACAGCCAAACGGCTTTCTCTGGCCAAAACACCTCCACAGCCTGCCCTTTTCGGCGGAGATCCAGATCTGGGAGCTGACTGCCACAAACTGAGGATGTTCGGAGATAGATGGAACTATAGTAACTATAGCTATGATCTCTCTCTCTCTCTCTCTGGGCATCCTTGCATTTTGGCATCATTCCATTCATTCGCACATGTTCCGAAGCAAATGTCTCGGTGTGAGACAAGGGTGGTCATCACACGTTAGGATGCTGATTATTTAAAGTGTTTCGCTTGGTTGATCTGTATGTTGATCTTGTATGATGAGTGGAACGCGGAAAAAGGTTGGACATGTCGTTGTATCTGACCGCCGGTAATCTTCAGACTCAACCCCCCCTTCCCGACACTAGAAGCCATGCAACTTTTGTTTTCTTGATGAAATCCTCGCAGGGCATTTGCCGAGAGAGTCGTCCAAACGCACGTATCGACTACACGACATTTATATATCCAATAGAATGCAACAAACCTCTGACCTATGATTAAAATTGAGGAACAACCAATGACCATACAATGACAACAGCATCTGACAGAATTGCAACTCAAACATGCTTGTCTGAACAAACGCATATCTGATAAACTCATGAAATTCACCCCCTCTCACGAAGTCAACTACAAATCACAATGCGTTGAATCACTGAGAAATGGACAATGGACAATACATCATTCAAAACCATTGAATCATCAAACAAATAGTATATGCACAAATTGCATACTGCATCATACTACCATGCATATCCATGTATACATCCTTCCACTATCTTTCCATCCCACCAGCAAAACACCTTCACCTCCCCACCCTCTCCAGCTTTTGGCCCACCAGCAAGCCAAAAACAAAAAAGCTCTCGACTCCATGGAAAGCGACCAGTTTCCTCAAGTGGCAGTCCTTGAGTTTCCTCTGGGCATCCACCAAGGTGGCCTTCTCCACTTCGAGACACACCTCCGCGGTGTCGCGCACCTGTTCCCTCAGGGGCCGTCGTTCCCGCTGCTCCATGCGCCAGGTACATAAGGTCAACGGCGCCTCCTGGCGACGGCGCAGGGGAATCCCCTCACCCAAAAAGGGTCGAAGAAAAGGGGAGTTCTCAGTGAGAATTGTAGCCTCAGATGATGTACTTTACGTAGGCACCTTGCACATAGAGAGCCTAAAGAGATCGGATTGAACCTCTACTCCACCCAATTTGTTAAAACTTGTCCAGGAATGTCAACACGTTGAACGGTCTTTTAACGTTCTTTTTTCCCGAGGTCCTTGGCGATGAGCGCTTCTTCAAGCTTCGCCAAGGTCTGCCGGGTGTGTTGCAGGGAGTTCTCCACCTCGGTGTTGGACACCGGGGAGCGGAACACTGGAGAATCACGGCAGAATCGGAAACAGCGTCCAGGGCCCAGGGGCTGCCAGAAGAAGGGGTTCGGTTGTTGATGAGTGTGAGTAGGATGTGACCAGCTCAGGTGTGAATCGGTTTCTCTTGTTCCTCCTTTTGATGCCAATTGAGAGAATGATCGGGTCAACAGCTGTCTAAGTGGGGTCCGGGAACAAAGTCAGGTTCCTGGGTCTGGGGTGTCAGTGAGGATCCTCCAATGATTTGCTGTCGACGGGTTGCCTGGTATGCACCAAACACTTCACAAGGGAGATAACTGAGATGAGATAACTGTTCAATCACACACTATTGACCCAGCCATGCTGTAAGCTTCCATAATGACGTACAAACTTTCTTGCCGTTTGCATTGAGAGACGGCCACCCGTCTACATTGTAAAGAAACTCAGAAGGCCTCACACAAGGTAACGTCGGAAGGAACTCCCCCCAAACCGACATGGAAATGTTTCAATCACTCCTGCTAGCCACCTTTTGCACTTTTGTTTGGTCGGCGTAAAGCTTTTTAAACCACAATGACAACCCATCATGAAAATGTATGAAAAGCATTGGGTGAGTCGTGGTGGGATTACAGTCAGCGGTTTAAGGCCAAACCAACGCCTTACTAGCTCCGCTCCACCCTTCGCTGGGTGCCGGCCGGGCACCGAGTGTGCTCGGTGTTGAAGCTTCTCCACAAGACGTTGAGAGGTCTTCACCTTGTGCTCCAGGGAGTTGTGCAGTTCCTCCAGCGCTGCGTGGCGTGACGGAGGATCATATGATGTTATGACTCCTTGGCATCCTACAAGAGAGGTTGAGAGACCATATAGGACCCAGTAGTGGTACATATGGGATGGGCGACAAAGGGCTGTTCAACCTCTCTTGGTTGAGGAGAATAATTCAACAGTCGGAGCATGAGGACTCAGCTGAACATGCTGAAACCAGTTCACCACTGCCAGTCGAGGCGAGGCTTTGGGGGTTGATCCCGGTGTTGCCGAGTCCTCCCGAACACAGGCTAAGCTAGAGAGTAATTGAGTGTGACTGATATAACAAAAAGTACACGGTGCAATTGGGGCAAAACTCAAACGACTCAAAACTCAAAACAGCACACAAATACATCCTGAATCATGTAAACAACTTGGGATGCTTGATCCACCATTTACCCAGCCCTTGTTCTTACACTTGCGCAACGAGGCACAGAGTACATGCCCATGTTCTCGGTCATCACTTCACCATGGGCCCGACTGGATCGATCTTGTTGATCCATGGCCTTCCGGTGTGCACTCTGCGCTTGGTACATGTTGTACTGGGCGCCTGAGTCCAAGCGCGGCGTTCTCTTCATGGAAAGCGTACACATTGGGCGGCTTCTGTCAGAGCTGGACAGATGATGACGCACAAAAGCTGAGTCACATGCTGACATTGCACTCAAATGCACTAAGTCATGAAAAAAGGTGCGCAGGCTGGATCATGTGCTACAATCCTAGCTGCAAGAACACCAAGGCACTTTGCGCCCACTCCTGCGTAGTGTGCATGCTCATCTTGGCCGGAAGCGCTCCCTTGATCACCCGGCCCACTTGAGCCCAAGCTTGACGACATGCAAAGCTGACCAGTGTGCCATGCAAACGATATACACTATTTGATTCTTCGCATTGTTGATTATGGTAATCTCAATGCCTTCCACCACTTCAACCCACCTTGGCCTGCCTACCTGTAGACGCTTGCTTGCCTTGCTTAATGGGAGCAGTAGATCACACGTGGGTCGAAACTGCAGGCTTTGCTCGGAGATTCATCTCAGTCTGGACTGCTTCTGGAACCTGAACTCCAAAATGACTCCATCATCCATCTCTTTCTTTCTTTCTTTCTTTCTTTCTTTCTTTCTTTCTTTCTTTCTCTCTCTCTCTCTCTCCATCGCCATCAGTCAAGACTACCATCATACTCCATCATTTTCCCTACGCAATATTCCCCAAACCTGATTGTTCAGGGAAATTCACCGTATTTCGTCGGAATCGTATTCTCTGATAATCCGCATCTTCCTTCAGTACCCACCTTTCCCACTCTTCCCCTTTTGTCTCTGGTCCTCCATCCCCCCCAAAAAGAAAGAACCCAAACACCAACTCCCAAAAGCCGGCCCAAAAGCCCTCGCTTTGCGCTCGCTTTGCGGCGCCTGAGGTGTCCTGAGAGCCCTTGCGTGCGGGCGCCTTGGACAAGACCGGCTCGCAGGGCTCGGGCGGCTCGATGAGCTCGATCTCTGGGAGCTCCAACCGGCGGGTGACATCTTCCCTCGGCTGCACGAAGAAATGGACGGGAACGGCCGGAGGTTGCCTTTTGGGCGATCAATTGTATTGAAAATGAGTTCCTGTATGACTGTATCAGGAAATTGGTTCTCTAGTTCAATGTTGATTTGAAGCATCTCGTTGATCTGGCTGTGCCGTTGGCAATTCACAACTCTGTGCTGCAGTATGTTTTAGGTTTGAGCTCAATAACTCTTTTGGTCAAATAGCTGCCAATGCCATTCCAGGACCAAATCAAAGTGTTTTCCAGCTATGGAACTGTCTGGTGGCAGTGGTATGCTGCACATGGTTTAAGCATGTTTAAGCTGCAAAGCCCGTGATGATTCGATACGTCATGTTGAATGACTTGGCCAACGAACAAGGGCAGTAAGAAGGATACAAGGCATGTCCATTGCATGTCAGAGCTCCACAGCTGTTCCACCGCAGGTCTTTTCACCTCCCCCGACAACGCTCCGCCTTGAGCTGGACACATCATCTCTGGTCGAACGGAAGGAGGGCATGTAGGTCTCCCAAAAGGGCTTCCTGCAGGTCTCACAAGTGTCATGAAGTGTCACCAAGTGTCCAAGTGGCAAGTCGTGGTCAGCTAGGTTCATCATGCGACAACTCCTAGGTCATCCCGACAAAACCTCGGGCGGACCACGAGTAGATCCTCGGTATTCAACGCACCCGAGGCGCTCCGCAAGTGCCAAATCCGTTCAAAAAAAAAGGGTCTGCAGCTCAGTCTTTAGGCAAAGCATGGCAAAGCCCTTGACGGCTCAAAGTCAAGTGTTGCTTCAGAATAGTGGGATAATATGGAATAATATCAAAGCATTGATGCTTCACCATGGTGTACAGCTTCACCACTCAAAGGTTGCTTGGCCAGCATCATGTTGCGTGTTGTTCAATTTCAATCCAGTTCGAGTGCTGACTTCCACTTCCAATGGCTCGTCTGCCATATACAAACTGAGTAATTACTCTGAATCACCCGTCTCTGATCACCGCACTCCTTGTTGACTCCTGAAGAACCCTGGCCGCATGTGAATCACCCGGGCAAGGCAAGGGACGGCTGACCCCACAGGGCTGTCCCCCCGGCGTGGAACCGCGTTTGACTCGCGAGACAACCGCCGTCCTCTCCGCCCGAGCAATGCCTCAGTTGAGATCCCCAAAAATGGGCTCTGGATGACCAAGCAAATCAAAAATCGTGGCCGCATGTCGGCCAAACAAAGAATCACAAGTCGACCACAACCAACTTCTGTACTGATTGTATAAATAAGAACTGTGTATACGAGTACTGAGAGTTTTGATTTCAGCTAGCCTTCTTCATCTTCAAACCCTGAAGATGAATCATGTCATGCCCAACTTCCCCAGCCACCCGCTCCGTTCCGGCTCCGGCCTCTGGGTGCATCTGCCAGGGTCTTGAGGAGTTCATCTTGAGCATCAAACCTCCTCATGATCGTCTCAAAGTGTTCCTTCAACATCTGAAGCCTCGGCGCGCCATGGACCGCCATGGGACATTGGCATCAGACTTGTCCTCACATCAGACCTCACACTCCCCGAATGGGGCTCAAGGGGCTGTGGACAGCGCAGCGGTGGCGGGAATGCGAGGGCCATTAGTAGATGAGATGCTCGGGGACTTGAAGAAAATGCTCCCAATACTCCTAATGCGTTGGCAGGTGGTACCGTACTACTCGGAAAGTCATGGAGCACCTGAGCATCCAACAGTGACGAAAGGTGGGGTCCGTCCTGTCCAAACATCTACACAGTACTGTAAAATGATTTGTGCCCAAAAACGCCGCATGGCGCGGCCAGCTCCAACATCATCGGATTTACCAACCTGACCCTGGTAGAGTGCTCCAAAGCATCTATATAGGTACGTCGTTTCTGGTTTCACCCTGCGTCTACTACGGATGCCTCCCCTCATGAAAGGGATCTGAAAAAGAAAGCAAATCGATGCACCTTTGCCAAAAGGACACCACCGGGAATGGTGGAACACATTGAATCAAGTGGAATCCCCAGATTGAAAATCTCTATCTGCACAATTCCGATCCCGCTTGTGTGTCATAACCTACGGCAACTGAATCCACCGGGCATTGTTGAGGCCTTTTTGTTGACAAAGCCCTTGACCATATATGATATAGAATTAATCAACATGTTGTCCAATGTCGTGCAAGTGCATGATGGTATCCAGTTGTCACACCGTCAGACTGGAAGGTTTTGTAGGGCTACCATGCGCAAGCTAGACATAGAGGTCAATTCATGTTAAGTCTAAATGTGCCTGAGATGAACTAAGAAAGGAAAACACACATAACAACGCGTTGGTCAGGGGAGAGGCATCACGGGGCTCCAATTCCTGTCCCGCTGATTTAACACAGCATCATCACCCATGTCCTTCCGATCTCCCTATGTCCTATGTCTCTGCTTGATCCCTTGGGCTTGCGACATGGCCGTTTCGCCATTCTCGTGCATCACATCCTGGAAGTGACCAGCCAAGACACGCCCACCGACAGTCTCAAGTGCGAAGCACCCAGGACGAAGAACAAAACACAGCGGGGACAAATGAGGTTCAACAACCGTGTGGTGTTTCTTGAGAACCGCGGGAAACAGGTGGTCAAAACGCATTGATGGGAAACAGGTGATTAGATGATGCTCCGGCGTTCGTCCTAAGTGAGCCACTTGCATATTGCATTCTTTGATTGGAAGGCAAATGACAGCGATGGCGATGCCTTGCACCAAATGGGTGATACCGGCATCATTCGCAAACAGTTGCAACACTCAAACCATCTCATACCAACAAATCAATGGGTTATCAACCTAAAGGCCTAACTAAGAAACTTCACACTTTAGACTTTTGTCGTTGAATGTA